AATCTGTCTCCCCAGATCTGGCCGACACTTTCACACCAACCCCTCCAACGGCATTGCACTCCCCCTGGGATGCAGACCCCTCTCCAGCCTGCCCCCCACCATGCCACGCCAGGGCCGGCAGCTGCCACATAGATCTGTACACGTCCTTGCTCTCGTGCAGATCCCAAAGCACCCGATTGCCCAGCTTCCCCTTATAAGTGCGTGCCCCATCCGTGTTGGTGTTCACCCCAGCCTTGCCAAGCTTACGGAGGGAGATAAGGTTGGCCTTCAGGTCGGGGATGAAGAGAACGTCGTGCAGCACCACCGGCTTGCCATCCGCTCCCTTAAACGCAGCTCGTCCCGCACCAGCCACCTTCAACATGTGTCCAGAGGCGGAGCACACTTCATTGATCGGTGCAGCTCGTACTTCGTCCAGCAGGTCCTTGCGCGGCGTCATCGTCCAAGCAGCGCCTGTGTCCAACACCCAATAGTCTAGGGGGTGCAGCTCTGCTCCAACTTTGGCAGAGGCGTCTCCTTGCTCCCCCTTGTCTCCCACATGGAAGAATTGGCCCGCGGTGCGCTCCTTCTTCTTCTCCGCACCGCCGTTGCCCTTCGGGTTGTTGTCGGACGAATCAGCGACCATGTTGGCGCCGTTTTTCTGGTTCCTCCGCGCGCCGCCATCCTGGTGACGATTCTGGGGGGTCCATCCATCGGGTTTCTTATAGCACAAAAACCAGGGGTGCCCTTCCTTCTCACAATACCAGCAACTCCCTTTCATTTTGCCACCAGCACCCGACTTGCCCCCACGTCCAGATTTCGCACCGCGACCCCAACCGGTACCTCCTTGTTGGTCGTTGGAGTCGTCGTCTTTCTTTGCACCGCGTCCAGCACCACCGAAGCCACGTCCTCTGCCACGTCGGCTCCCTTGCATCCCGTAGCCGCTGCTGCCGTCGTCTCCACCCCTCAGTTGGCGGCGACGGAAGTCCTCCTCCAGAATCTTCGTCCGCACCCACTCGAGCGTCCACAAGCTCTGGTTCTGCGGCAGGCTCAATCCGCTCGTAAATTGAAGCCACGATTCTGGCAGCAGCGAGAGCATCTTCAAGCACTTGGTCTGCTCCGGGTAGGTGATTCCCGCGATCGCCAACTTCGCGTAGAGGTCGCGCATCTTGTCCAGGACTGGTTGCACCGGCTCTCCCTCGCTTAGGCGCAACGCGGACAGCTCCCTCTCCAGCATCAACGTTGCGACAACGGAGGTCGGGGCGTGCAGCTCCTTCAACACGGTCCACGCCTTCGGACCGCATTCAACCTCCGGCAGCAGGTGCATGACGTGGTGACGCTGGTTCAGCTCCAAACTCTGCGACATCAAATAGTAGCCAGCCGAGGAGCGCTCGTCCCAATCTTCCTGCAGCGTGGGGTCACTCGGTCTAGGCTCCTCCCCAATCATTAGTTTCAGCAAACCGATCTGACGGAAATATAATTGCATTTTCCAGGCCCAATCATCATAGCCCTCACCATTGAACTTCTCGACGGTGAAATTCTTCAGCACCTCCTTGACAAGCGAGCCCTGGTTTGTTCGCGCTCCCCTTGGCGCTGAAAGACCAGAATCTTGGCTGCCGCTACGATCTTGGGCTGAAGATTCACCAGCTCCCGCCGAGGTGTTGCCCGCCATAGCTACCTATAACGAGGATCACTATAACGCGGCTCTGATACCAGCTTGTTGGTGTAAGGGCCTAATAAACTCAAGCTATTAGGACTTAATCAAACTTAAAATCTCTCCTCGGGGTCACCTCCAAGGGTCCCTGGGTGCCTGGTACAAGACCAGCCCCTATCCTCGGGTCCGAGTTTGTAGAGAGAGGGATCAAGAAGGACTTAGTCAAAACAGCAAGAGTACCTTGAACGTCGCGCAGCGTGCCGTGCAGACCGTCGGTCGGATTAAGCTGAGAATTCGCTATATCGAAGCTCGCTCCAAGAGCTTTAAAATGAGCCAAGTTGCCTCGCGAAAAGTTCTGCCATTACGAAGTTATGGCTCAGACGGTGTTTGCCTAGCATTAGAGTGCTAGCGTACTAGCGTTGACTCGGGTAGCATTCCGCCGTCGAATAGCGCAGAAACGAAATTCCAGCGAGGAAGGAATTCGCTTGAATCAATTTGACTATATTCAGGTACAAACAGAGAAGGATTAAATAGTTCTAGCTAGCAAGGACCTTGGGAATCAACCTGGGAACAACCAGGGATGATCCCAAATAATTCCAAGCAACAGAACCAACCTGGCTGGACAAAATAGCAGGTGGTAGGTTGGTAAACAACCTCTGGTTCTGTTTTTCCAACCTGGGAAAACAACAACCAGGTTCAGGTTCTAAAAACAGAACCTGTTTTTGTCTTTGCCCAACCAGCCAAATGCTGGTTCCGCTGGTTTCCCTTGGCCTTGTAGCATGCAGATACAGAACGAGGCCGCTCTCCCAGGTCGGTCAGCAGGTAAGTGAGCCAGCGCAACTCCAGATGCTTCAATAAGGGCATTGCCACATGCCCCAAGCGTCGGTGTGCCGTTGCCCAATCCGTCTCCCCAGATCTGGCCGACACTTTCACACCAACCCCTCCAACGGCGTTGCACTCCCCCTGGGATGCAGACCCCTCTCTAGCCTGCCCCCCACCGTGCCACGCCAACGCCGGCAGCTGCCACATGGATCTGTACACGTCCTTGCTCTCGTGCAGATCCCAAAGCACCCGATTGCCCAGCTGCCCCTTGTACGTGCGAGCCCCATCCGTGCTAGTGCTCACCCCAGCCTTGGCAAGCTTACGGAGGGAGATGAGGTTGGCCTTGAGGTCGGGAACGAGGAGAACGTCATGCAGCACCACCGGCTTGCCATCCGCTCCCTTAAACGCAGCTCGTCCCGCACCAGCCACCTTCAGCGCGTGTCCAGAGGCGGAGCACACCTCGTTAATTGGTGCAGCGCGTACTTCGTCCAGCAGGTCCTTGCGCGGCGTCATCGTCCAAGCAGCGCCCGTGTCTAACACCCAATAGTCCAGGGGGTGCAGCTCTGCTCCAACCTTGGCAGAGGCGTCTCCTTGCTCCCCCTGCTCTCCAATATGGAAGAACTGGCCCGCGGTGCGCTCCTTCTTCTTCTCCGCACCAGCGTTGCTCTTCGGGTTGTTGTCGGACGACACAGCGACCATGTTCGCGCCGTTTTTCTGGTTCCTTCGCGCGCCGCCATCCTGTTGACGATTCTGGGGGGTCCATCCATCGGGTTTCTTATAGCACAAAAACCAGGGGTGCCCCTCCTTCTCACAATACCAGCAACTCCCTTTCATTTTGCCACCAGCACCCGACTTGCCCCCACGTCCAGATTTCGCACCGCGACCCCAACCGGTACCTCCTTGTTGGTCGTTGGAGTCGTCGTCCTTCTTTGCACCGCGCCCAGCACCACCGAAGCCACGTCCTCTGCCACGTCGGTTTCCTTGCATCCCGTAGCCGCTGCTGCCGTCGTCTCCACCCCTCAGTTGGCGGCGACGGAAGTCCTCTTCCAGAATCTTCGTCCGCACCCACTCGAGCGTCCACGAGCTCTGGTTCTGCGGCAGGCTCAATCCGCTCGTGAATTGAAGCCACGATTCCGGCAGCAGCGAGAGCATCTTCAGGCACTTGGTCTGCTCCGGGTAGGTGATTCCCGCGATCGCCAGCTTCGCGTAGAGGTCGCGCATCTTGTCCAGAACAGGTTGTACCGGCTCTCCCTCGCTCAATCGAAACGCGGATAGCTCCCTCTCCATCTTGAGCGTCGCGGCAACGGAGGTAGGAGCGTGCAGCTCCTTCAGCACGGTCCACGCCTTTGGACCGCAATCAACCTCCGGCAGCAGATGCATGACGTGGTGACGCTGGTTCAGCTCCAAACTTTGCGACATCAAGTAGTAGCCAGCCGATGCGCGCTCGTCCCAATCTTCCTGCAGCGCGGGATCATTCGGTCTAGGCTCTTCCCCAATCATTAGTTTCAGCAATCCAATCTGACGGAAGTAAAGCTGCATTTTCCAGGCCCAATCATCATAGCCCTCACCATTGAACTTCTCGACGGTGAAATTTTTCAGCACCTCCTTGATCAGCGAGCTCTGGTTGGTTCGCGCTCCCCTTGGCGCTGAAACACCAGAATCTTGGCTGCCGCTACGATCTTGGGCTGAAGATTCACCAGCTCCCGCCGAGGTGTTGCCCGCCATAGCTACCTATAACGAGGATCACTATAACGCAGTTCTGATACCAGCTTGTTGGTGTAAGGGCCTAATAAACTCAGGCTATTAAGACTTAATCAAACTTAAAATCTCTCCTCGGGGTCACCTCCAAGGGTCCCTGGGTGCCTGGTACAAGACCAGCCCCTATCCTCGGGTCCGAGTTTGTAGAGAGAGGAGTTAAGAATGAGTTAGCCAAAATAACAAGAGTACCTTGAACGTCGCGCAGCGTGCCGTGCAGACCGTCGATCGGATTAAGCTGAGAATTCGCTATATCGAAGCTCGCTCCAAGAGCTTTAAAATAAGCCAAGTTGCCTCGCGAAAAGTTCTGCCATTACAAAGTTATGGCTCGGACAGCGTTTGCCTAGCGTTGGAGTGCTAACATACTAGCGTTGACTCGGGTAGCATTCCGCCGTCGAATAGCGCAGAAACGAAACTCCAGCGAGGAAGGAATTCGCTTGAATCAATTGACTATATTCAGGTACAAACAGAGAAGGATTAAATAGTTCTAGCTAGCAAGGACCTTGGGAATCAACCTGGGAACAACCAGGGATGATCCCAAATAATTCCAAGCAACAGAACCAACCTGGCTGGACAAAATAGCAGGTGGTAGGTTGGTAAACAACCTCTGGTTCTGTTTTTCCAACCTGGGAAAACAACAACCAGGTTCAGGTTCAAAAAACAGAACCTGTTTTGTCTTTGCCCAACCAGCCAAATGCTGGTTCCGCTGGTTTCCCCTGGCCCTGTAGCATGCAGATACAGACAAAAAACATCCAACCTTCACCTAAATTGTACCCCTATAGTGCCTGCCCTGCTACACTATAGTCAACCAAGCAAAACAGTACAATTTCGAGTTGGATAGAACTGAATCTGCGCAATCAATTCAACCGAACCGCAAAGCTTCCATCTTGGGTTCCTTTGCGAGCTCGTCTTTTCTGCTTGCACTGTTCATAGCGCGTACAATGTTGTGCCGAAGCGCACATTGCGCGAGTACCTGCAAATGCATCAAGCGAAAATTGCGAAAGCAAACAAACACACGAACATTCCATTCACACACAAATGCATTCGCACACGCATACTCGTACAAACAGACGGCAGGATGTCGTGCAATGTGCATTTGCACCCAACACCCGGAACTCCAGCGTCAGCGCCTCCAGCACCAGGACCTCCAGTCCCAGTGTCTCCAGCTCCAGCGTCTCCAGCGGCAGAACCGACGGCTCCAGTAGCCCCCGGACCAGCACCACCAGCCCCGGCAGCTCCAGTACCTCCAGTACGAGCACCTCCGGGACCAACAGCACCAGGGGCTCCTTCAGCACCAGCAGCGTCGGAAGGGCCAGCAGCTCCAGCACCTCCAGCAGCTCCAGTGGCCGAGCCCTCAGCACCAGCATCACCACGCGAACGACAGTAGCAGTGAGTGTACCACTCACGCAGCTGCTGCGGGGAGAGTGGCTCCCGCCGGCCAGACCCAGGCTCAGCACCCCCAGGCTCAACACCCCCAGGCTCAGCACTCCCAGGCGCAGCACCCCTAGGCCCCACGCACTCAGGTACAGCACCCCCAGGCTCAGCACCTCCAGGCTCCTCACGCGCAGGCTCAGCACCCCCAGGCTCCACGCGCTCAGGCTCAGCACTCCCAGGCCCCGCACCCGCAGGCTCAGCACCCTCAGGCCCCGCACCCACAGGCCCAGCACCCTCAGGCCCCGCACCCACAAGCTGAGCACCCCTAGACTCATGACCCCCAGCAGTACCTCCGCCAGCAGCACCAGAGTCACCAGTAACTTCAACAGGCGCAACCAGGGGAGAGAAGTCTACCTGGGAAACACCTGAAGGAGCAGGACCCTGAGGGGGGAGGGGGTCTAGCGGGGGCGGACCTGGAGCGAGGAAGAGCGGCGGGGGGGGGAGAGAGGCAGTGCGGTAGGGGAAGAGACGGTAAAAGGGAACCGACTCGTCAAACGTGACGTCCTGAAAGGAGAGAACACGGCGCGAGGTGGGGTGGTAAAACTGCCAGCCAGGCGCGTCAGTAGGGAAGCCAAGGAAGACGCAGGGAATGGCGCGAGCGGAGAGCTTGTCCGCGGAGGTATCGCGGACAAAGGCACGAGAGCCCCAGACCCGGAAGCGCGACGCATCGCCAACCTTCCCCGTCCAACGCAGTGTGGGCGAGGTCTCCGGCAAGGAGACTCGGGGCCAGAGGTTGAGCTGATGCGCAGCGTACCGGACCGCAAACGGCCACAGAAAATGGGGAGCCGCCGCATGGATCATGGAGGTGCGAGCAACCTCCATGACAAGGCCAATGCGGCGCTCAGCAACCCCATTCTGCTGCGGAGAGGCCGGAAGCGTGAACGACTGGGGTATGCCCTCCTCCTGACAGAAGTCCCGCAAGAGGTCAGAGGAAAACTCACCACCTCTGTCAGAGTGCAGACGTAGGACGGGAAAGTCCGTCTGGAAACGGTCGCGAAGCTGGAGACGAACGGCGCGGATCCACTGGATCAAGACAGCAGGGACCTCACCCTTGTTGCGCAAGGGGAAGACCGTGGTGTACCGCGAGTAGTCGTCAACAACCAGCAGAAAGTACTGCTCGCGGCCCTGTCCCCGGACGCGGGCTGGGCCCCACACGTCCATGTGGAGGGTCTGCAGGGGAGCGTCTGTCGGAGGAAACGAGGAGGAGTGAGAAGCGGCGCGCTGCCGCCCCTCGACACAAGGGAGACACGGCGGGGCAGGCGAGCGAGGGAGTGACGGCAGGGACCGGGGAAGACCAGAGACAAGCAGACGAGAGTGCATGCTGCGGAGACGCGGCAGAGAGGGGTGACCAAGGCGGTGGTGCCAGAGGAGAGTCTGGTGCGACAGGTGACGACACAAGCAAGGGGCAGACTCCGGTCCGGACAAGGACACCTGACCAGTAGCAGCAACCTGGGGAGACCCGACAGTCAGGGTGTACAGACTCGACCCAGACCAACGGGTGAACGTGGCCAGGTGGCGGCCCGTGCGGGCACACGTGCAGATCGCCACACGACGTCCTCCAGGGGTGAAGGTGTCAACCCACTCATCCTGGATGACGGCGTTACTCACCAGGTTCGTAGAGAACGAGGGGAGGTGGAGACCTGTAAGTGAGCCAGACGGGACCGCCGGACAGGGGAGGACAGTGGAGGAACGTGCAAGGACAGGACCCCCAGAGGGCAAGGGAGACGGGAACCGGTGCAGAGAGCGGTGTGACTGTGGTGCTGTCGCGGAAGAAGCAGCGGGAGGCACCTGAGTCTAGCGTGAAAGTGTACAAGGCCTCAGTAGGCGCAGTACCTGAGAGAGCAGACTCACTAGCACCTAGGGCAGCAGACTCGCAAGCACCAAGGGCAGCAGACTCACAAGCACCTGGAGCAGCAGCCTCTATACCAGGGTCTGGCGGAACACACAGGTAACAGTCACCCTCAGCACTAACAGTCAATGCATACATGGCAGCAAGGATAGCATCATAGTCAAGATCAAAGATCTCTACTCCCCTCCTAAGCAGATCAGCCCAGTTGGGCAGTTCAGAACAGACAGGAAACTGAGCACGCCAGGCGTCACTAAGGCGGGAAAAGCAGCGGTGCTGGGTGTGCAACCTCCCGCAGGTCTGACCAGCACGCTCACCCGTACGAATGACATACGGGCAGGTACCACCACCCCCAGGCGACTGACGCTGCGCGTACCACTCACGAAGGTCCTGCGGCGTACGGGGCAGGCGCTGGCGCTGCTGCTGCTGTGCCTGGCTGCCTCCAGAGCCGCCGCGCTGGGCCGCACCACTGCGACCACCGCCACCGACTCCGCTGCCACTCCCACCACCGCCACCCCCGCCGCTGCCACCCCCAGTGCCGCTGCCACCACTGACCCCAACACCCCCACCCCCACCCCCGCCGCTCCCACCACCCCCGCCGCCACCACCCGAGCCTCCACTACCGCCTCCACCCCCACCACCCCTGCCGCCCTTCGCCTTGCCGCTGCGGCGCCTGCCACTGGAAGCAGGCGCAACGCCAGCCTCCTCAGCACCAAGGAGGTCGACAGCAGCAGCAGTGGCGACAGAGGGGAGGAGGGGAGAGGGGGAACACCCCTCGAAGAAGGGGGTGCGAGGAGTGCCTCGAGATGTGCCTACAGCGTTAATGCTAACCTCGGCCGCTGTAAGGTGCTTTTCGAGGAGGTCTATAGTGAGCTCAGTGGGGTCCATGGCTAGGAAGGTGTCCCTGACAGCGCGAAGAGAGTCAGGGAGGCGAGTGACTAGGAGGTAGAGGGTGTAGTGAATAGGGGGAGGGTTCTTGGCGAGGAAGTCGGCAGAGGTAGCAGCACGCACCCTAGCGTCGCTAGTGCGGAGGTGGGTGATGAGATCAGCGACTGTAGGAAAGGCGGACAGGTCAGGAAAGAGGTAGGGCAGGATGAGACGGCCTAGCGCAGCAGTGGCAGGCGAGCTGTAGCGAGCTACGACTGCGTCGAACAGGTCCTTGGCGGTTTTCTGCTGGCTAAAGTGCGCACGCTCGGCTAGCGGCAGGTGGTTCGCACAGCGAGGCGTGCAGCAGCGTCGCGAATAAGCCACTGGTCACGAGTGTCAGCGTCAGCAGTGTCTGCAGGGGCGGCAGCGCTACCAGACGTATGAGCGAACAGAGAGACACGATCCTTAGACTCGCACTGAAGGTAGAGCCTAAGGTCGTCTAACCAGGTCTCAAATTCTATCGGGCGGCCATCTGCGGCAAAAGTGAGAACGTTATAAGTCGCCATCGTTGGTAGCGCAGGGCAGGAAGGTGGCGCTGACTACCGTTATGGGCGGCCGGTAGGGAAGAAAGCGGTCTTTGTGCACACGAAGGGCAGGGAGCGCGGCGGGCTGCACTGCGCACGGGCAAGGTAGGGTGGCGCGGCAGCACGCTGCGTAAGGGCAGGGCAGGTGGCGCGGCAGCGGGCGGCGCACAGGGAGGGCAGGGAGGCGCGGCTTCGGGCTGCGCACGGGTAGGGTAGGGTGGCGTGGCGATGGGCTGCGCACGGGCAAGACAGTTGGGGGCGCAGCGGCGGGCTGCGCACAGGGACGGGCAGGGGGCGCGGCGGCGGGCTGCGCACTGGAACAACAGGGGGCGCGGCGGCGGGCTGCGCACGGGCAAGGCAGTGCGCGCACGAGCGGCGCACGGGCAGGGCAGGCGCGCGGGCGGCGGGGCGACGCGGCAGCAGCGCGACGCAGCCAGCAGCGCGCGCGGGGTGGTGCAGGCAGAGCAGCGCGCTAAAAAAAAAATTGCGCTGTAGCAGTGGCGCGCGGCTAACAGGGGCAGCGCGACTCGGGGCAGTGGGGTAACGTGGTAACAGGTGGGCCCTATGATACAACTTAGGTCCTAAGGACCCATGGCTCTTAATACCATGTTAGAATAGTGGACTAGAATGGTGAGATTAGGTCAAGGAGGGGTACAAGAAGAATGTCGAGAGAAATTCTGTACCCCCTAGTGCTACCCCACTACAGCCTAGACAAAGCCAACATACAAATATAGTTTGACAGCCACCTGGCGTTGAAAAATGCGTCCGCAGAAATTGGAGTCTCGCGAAAACACGGAGCGCGGTAAAAACGACTCGCAAAAACATTAACTACGTCTTTTGGATAAGAATGGTGATTCCCTTTTTTAGCAGCAATCGACACGATTGCATACATTTTAACAGTTTTGCATGCCCATGATGTTGGCCCATTCCCGTTTGTGTCTGAAACAAGATTTGACGTTTACGTCGGAAGGGTTGCGTAGGCCTGTATCCCATATGTAAGAAACGTTATAATAGTGTGCGTTAGAATTATATTTGCTTTTAAATGCAATTTTTTGCTAGTTCTTCTCCCACCTAGCCGTCGCTTTCGCTCCCATCCCGCCGTATCCTCTCTCCTTCACTACCCGCCGTCACATCTTCAACCCACCTCACAATCACTCCGTCCCACCGCACTCTCTCCCTTACATCCCCGCCGTCGCCTCTCCCACCTCCCTGTTGTCGCCTCTCCTTCCTCCCCGCCGTCGCCGCTCTTTCCTCGCCGCCGTCACTTCTCCCTCCTCCCGGTCGTCGCCTCTCCCTCCTCCCCGCCGTCGCCTCTCCCTCCTCCCCGTTGTCGCCTTTCCCACCTCCCTTCCGTCGCCTCTCCCTCCTCCCCGCCGTCGCCTCTCCCTCCTCCCCGCCGTCGCCTCTCCCTCCTCCCCGCCGTCGCCTCTCCCTCCTCCCCGCCGTCGCCTCTCCCTCCTCCCCGCCGTCGCCTCTCCCTCCTCCCCACCGTCGCCTCTCCCTCCGCGACAGGTGCACGAGCGCAAGCGCGAGTTGGTGCGTGAACGCGGGTTGGTGCGCGAGTGCGGGTTGTTTTCTAAGCTACCGTGGTTATCAGGTGCATTCCCTGTCCTTTCATCCTTCCTCCCCCCTCTGAAATGTCCTTTTTTCTCTCTTCGTCTTTTTTTCTTTTCTTTTCTTTTCTTTTTTGCTCTCTTCGTTGTGTGTCGATTGGTCTCCTCTTGCGTAGCTCTCTTCATAAAAAAAGGGAGAGCGTGTACACGGAAGCACACGCACAGGAGAGTGCGCGTGAGAGTGAGCGTGAGAGAGCGCGTGGGAGTGCGTGAGGGGGCTCGTAAGATTGCGCGTGAGGTAGGGTGTGAGAGTGCGCATGAGAGATTGTGCGCGTGAGAGAGTGTGCGCGTGTGAGAGTGTGCGCGTGAAAGAGTGTGCACGTGAGAGAGTGCGCGTGAGAGTGCGCGTGAGAGAGTGTGCGCATGAGAGAGCGCGAGAGAGTGTGCGCGAGAGAGAGCGCGAGAGAGCGCGCAAGAGTGCGCGCGAGAGTGCGTGCGAGAGTGTGTGCAAGAGTGCGCGCAAGGGAGCACGGGAGAGAGCACGTGAGAGTGCGCGTGAGAGCACACGAGAGCGCGTGTGAGGGAGCGCTTGAGGAGGCGCCTGAGAGAGCGCGAGGGAGCGCTTGAGAGAGAGTGCGAGAGAGAGAGCGCGTGAGAGTGTGCTCGAGCGTGCGTGCGGAAGAGCGCGCGGGAGAGTGCACGAGAGTCCGCGCCAGAGTGCGCGCGAGGGAGCACACGAGCGAGCGCGTGAGAGAGCGCGTGAGTTCGCGCGTGATGGAGAGCGCCAGAGAGTGCATGAGAGTGATGGTGTGAGTGCGAGGGCGAATGCGAGTGTGGATGTGGGAATGAGAGCAAGGGCGAATGTGAGGGTGAGTACGGGTGTGAGTACGAGGGCGAATGCGAGCGTGAGTGCGGGTGTATGTGAGGCTGAGCGCGATGGTGCGGGTGTGATTGCAGTGGTGAGTGTGAACGCGAGTGCAAGTATGGTTCCAAGCGTGAGTGAGTGCATGTGTGAGGATGGGGGTAAGGGTGAATGTGAAGGTGAATGCAAGGGTGGCTGCAAGGTATTGCATGCATTCTGGCGTGGTACGTGTGACGCCATAATGTTTACTGTCAAGTCACCTTTGTAACATTTCAAATTTGATTGTTTTCATCACTCATCTTCCGTTTGTAGATTGCATTCTTCAGCGCCAATTTCTGTTGTGCTTACTTTGTTTTTTAATGCATCGTATTTTTGTTTCTTGTGCGTCAAGGAAACTTCACTCTCTGATTTTGATTTCTTGTGCAGCTCGTGCAAGTTGTATTCGCTGTTTTTGTTTTTGTTTGTGCAGGAAGTGAGCTACATTTGCTGTTTCTTCTTTCGTGCGTAGGGAGTTCAAGCTGCAGCCCTTGTTTCTTGCGGAGAAAAGGGATGGGGAGAAGGGAGATGAGGGAGGGAGGGAGGGAGGGAGGGAGGGAGGGAGGGAGGGAGGGAGGGAGGGAGGGCGGGGAGGGATTCAGGGACAGCCTAGTGATGATTCATACAAGGCTGAACTTCATTCATTATGCTTGCATGCTTATTACCGTAGCTATATGTTTTTGCGTTGTGTCTCTGTGTATGTGTGAGTGCGTACATGTGCATATGTGTTGTGTGTGTTTCAGGGCGTGGTGCAAAGTGTCAGAATATAATGCTTGTCTAGTCTGTAGTGGGGTACTCAATAGTGAGTAAACCCTTTTAGGGCTTGCTATTTGTACCTCCCTTCTTTCTAGTCAGCCCTCTCCTTTGTCTAATTCTCTCTTGCCTAGCTAGGTAAACTCTAGCTATGGCTCCTCGTCGTACCTACTATTTCGACATGGTTTCAGAGCATTTCCGCTCCTGGCCTGTGGGCCCACCAACTGCTTCCGCTGTCGTTCTGTTTGTCGCGCCCCCCGTGGTGCGCGACGTGTCCGCCACGCGCTCCAAGCGCGTGGCGGCTTTTTCTGCCCGCCGCGCGCTCGGGGCGCGTGGCGGTTTAACCGTCCGTCAAGGCGTCTTCAGGGGGCCCGCCTGCTGCCCCCTCCCGTCACTCGTCGCGACGCCCCGGAGGCCAGCGCGCCACCCCCTCCCGTCACCCGTCGTGGCGCTCTCGTGGGGGCCCGCGTGTGGCCCCCCTCCCGTCGCCCGTCGTGGCGCCTGGGGGCCCGCGCGCCGCCCCCTCCCGTCGCCTCGTCGCGGCGCCTTGGGGGCCCGCGCGCCGCCCCCCTCCCGTCGCCTCGTCGCGGCGCCTTGGGGGCCCGCGCGCGGCCCCTCCCGTCGCCCGTCGAGCCGCCCTCGGGGGCCCGTGCGCGGCCCCCCTCCCGTCACCCGCCGTGGCGCCCTCGGGGGGCCCGCGCCCTGCTTCTACGTGGCGCCCAGTAGACCCCCCCGCCGCCTCCCTTTCCCTCCGTGAACCGCCCCTGCTGTTTCCCGCGCTCCTGCCTGCGTTAGGGTTTGGGGGTGGCGGGCGTGGGGGTGCACGGTGTGGGTAACCTGCAGCTCCTCCTCCTCCTCCATCTCCCACTGCTGCAGCTGCCGCTGAGGGGGGTGGGTGTGTGGGAGCCGAGGGTTTAGGGTTTAAGGGGGGTGCCGTGGGAGTGGAGCTAGGGTTTCAGCAGGGGGTGTGTGAGAGGGGGGTGGGACGGTCGGGGGAGGTTGAGCGGAGGCTGCCGTCTTGTCGTCAGCAGCACCTGTAGTCCGGGGCGCTGTCCTGGTAGCCCAGTCGTAGCCAGCTGTGCCAGTCGCCCGTGGGTCCGTTGCTCCTGCCGCTCGTCTTAGCCGCGGAGCCAGTTACTCCTGTAGTCCGGGGCGCTGTTCCGGTAGCCACTGTGCCAGTGTGACTCCTGTTGCCCGTGTGTCTGCAGCTTCAGCCGTCGCCTCCTATCTCCTCTCCTCTTACAGTCTCGCCTCCTCCTCCTCACTTGCCCTTTGTGAATGCCTCTAGCTTTGCTGGCCCTTGTGAACCTGCTCTTTGACTGCTTGCTATGCTGATTATACCCCACTTTGACTATGGGGGTGTGTCAGAATATAATGCTTGTCTAGTCTGTAGTGGGGTACTCAATAGTGAGTAAACCCTTTTAGGGCTTGCTATTTGTACCTCCCTTCTTTCTAGTCAGCTCTCTCCTTTGTCTAATTCTCTCTTGCCTAGTTAGGTAAACTCTAGCTATGGCTCCTCGTCGTACCTACTATTTCGACACGTGCTAAGTGCCTCGTGAATGCAACTCGGATTGTGATCGTCGGTGGGGCAGCTTTGCTAGCCCCTTCCGTACCATATCACTTGCTTTGCAGCATTGATGCATTTAGTATTCGCCTTGAAACATTCTTAATCGTTGTCATCTGTTTTGTGAGAATAGTAGGTCAAGGGTAGACTAGAGTGTCGAGTGATTTTGGTACAAGGAAGAACCCTAAAGTGTTGTACCCCTAATAGTCTACCCCACTACAGCCTACCTAACTTTATAACATACATAAATATGTTTGACACACCCCCATAGGCAAAGTGGGGGAGAACAAGGGGTCACAAGACCAGTCAAGCAAAGCAAAGCAAAGCTCAGGGTGGATCACAACGTCACCACACATTCCGAGCAAAGGTTCAAGGCCTCAAGGCTGAGCCTTAGTCTCGAAAGAAGGAGCGGGAAGCACCCGAGTCAAGGGTGAAAGTGTGCGACGCCTGAGCGGACGTGGTACCTGAGAGAGCAGACTCACCAGCACCTGGGGCAGCAGACTCACTAGCACCTGGGGCAGCAGACTCACTAGCACCTGGGGCAGCAGACTCACTAGCACCTGGAGCAGCAGACTCACTGGCGCCTAGAGCAGCAGCTGCACCGCCTGGGTCGGGCGGAACACTCAGGTAACAGTCACCGTCATCACTAGTAGACATAACATACATGGCAGCAAGGATAGCATCATAGTCAAGATCAAAGATAGCAACTCCCGACCTAAGCAGATCATGCCAGCGAGGGAGCTCAGTGGCGTCAGGGAACCGGAGACGCCAGGCATCTGTCAGGCGGCCGAAGCAGCGCTGAGTGGTGTGCGGGCCGCCACACTGCTCCCCAGTGCGGTCACCAGTACGGAAGAAGTACGTACAGGGACCAGCACCCCCAGGCCGCTGACGCCCAGCGTACCACTGGTGAAGCTGCTGGGGTGGCGGGGCCTCACGAGAGCGCTGCTGCTGCTGACGCTGGCCACCACCGAAGCCTCCTCGCTGCGTAAAGCCGCCCCGACCGCCGCCACCGCCGCCACCGCCGCCACCGCCGCCACCGCCGCCACCGCCTCCACCGCCGCCACCGTCGCCACCGCCTCCACTGCCACTTCCTCGACTCCCACCGCCGCCGCCGCCGCTGCCTCCGCCTCCACCGCTGCCACCAGAGCCCCCACCTCCGCCACCACTCCCACCTCCACCCCCACCCCCTCCGCCGCCTCCACCGCCACCACCACCACCCCCGCCAGCTCCTCCAGCTCCCTTGCCCCCCTTACCCTTGCTGTTGCGGCGCCTCCCGCTAGGGGCAGACGCAGCGCCGACCGACTCAGTGCCAAGGAGGTCGACAGCAGCAGCAGAGGCAACAGAGGGCAAAAGGGGAACGGGGGAGCACCCCTCAAAGACAGGGGTACGAGGGTCACCTCGAGAGGCTCCTACAGCGACTATGCTCTGCTCAGCTGCAAGGAGCTCCTTCTCGAGGAGGTCAACGGTGAGAGTGGTAGGGCAGACAGCAAGGAAGTGGTTCATGACCGAGCGAAGGGAGTCAGGGAGCCGGGTGACTAGGTAGTAGAGGGTGATATACATGGGGGGGGGGGGGTTATGGGCGCGGAACTCAGCAGGAAGCGCAGCACGGTAGCGGGTGTCACTAGTGCGGAGGTGCGTAATGAGGTCAGCGACTGTAGCAAAGGCAGCGAGGTCAGGGAAAAGGTACGGCAGCATGAGGCGACTAAGGGCAGCAGAGGCAGGGGAGGAGTAGCGTGCAACGACAGCATCGTACAGGGCCTTAGCAGTTTTGTATTGACTAAAGTGCGCGCGCTCAGCGGGGGGCAGGTGACTGCGCACAGCAAGGCGGGCAGCAGCATCGCGTGTGTTCCAGCGGGAGCGAGTAGTGCTGTCAGCATCAGCAGCAGGGGCAGTAGAGGCACCAGACGTGAGATCGAACAGTGAGAGGTCGTTCTTTGCTATCACACTGCAGGAAAAGCTCCAGATCATCCAGCCATACCTCAAAGTCGATCGCACGACCCTCAGCATCGAAGATAAGAACAACGGGAGTAGCCATGACAGGAGCAAAAGCAGGCTAGCAGTAGCATCAGCAGGGCAGTGCTCACCAGTGGCGAGAAGGGCAGGTGTACGATGGCAGTAACAGCGAGGCCGCTACCACTGCAGGGCGAGGGCTCCTGGGCAGCTGCAGAGGCGGCTGCTGCAGGGGCGAGGGGCGGCTGCTGCAGGGGAGGCTACTGCAGGGGCGGCTGTTCCAGGGGCCGGGGGGGGCTGCTGCAGGGGCGGCTGCGCAGAATCGTCACCAGGATGGCGGCGTGCGGAGGAACCAGAAAAACGGCGCGAACATGGTCGCTGATTCGTCTGACAACAACCCAAGGGCAACGGCGGTGCAGAGGAGAAGAAGGAGCGTGCCGCGGGCCAATTCTTCCATATCGCAGACAAAGGGGAGCAAGGAGATGCATCTGCCAAGGTTGGAGTAGAGCTGCAACTCCTGGACTTTTGGATGTTGGACACGGGCGCTGATTGGACGATGACGCTTCGCAAGGATGTGCTGGACGACGTACGCGCTGCACCGATCAACGAGGTGTGCTCCGCCTCTGGACACG